TCCCTGGTACACTAATCTGTAGAAAGAACAAATCAACTCTTGCCCTTTAGTCAATCTCATCCACGACCAAAGATTGTACTCTCAGCAGCCTTATACATCATCTCCACTATATACCCTTTGCATGGGGTGGTCCACCAAGAATGCAAATCAGAAGCATGATGTAGGGTATTACCTCTCATCGAGGGCCCAAACCTGGGTAACCTGCTTGTGCGAACTCCCTTCTGGCACTTCTGACCATGTTTGCCACCCTACGAGGGTACTGACAGCTCTATGTACCATCACATCTATGCGTGTTTGCTAGTTAGTTAATGTTGTGGATCAATGGATGCTCTTTGTGAGCTCAATGGATATCAATGTTGTTGTTTTTCCCAGGTACATCGTTGTTTTTTCAACCCAAAAATCCAAAAATATATATCATCACATTGTAAAGATTGTAGCAAATAAATCATGAATCAATGCATGCCCTTTCCAGCCCGACGGATATCCGTGCCCGAGGATTAGATATCGCCACACTGAATGAATGGAGCGAATAAATCCAACGGATTACAATTTTCATCAGTGTTTCCCTTCTTTGCTAGACCCTTTCACGCAAAGACTACATGGTGGCACATGGACTGACACGTTGCTAGTCACAACACACACACACACACACACACACATGAGTTGAGTACATATGGCAAATCTACATTCCTGGTAAAACTAATCTATAGAAAGAAAAAAAATCAACTCTTGCCCTTTAGTTCTCTTCCCATGTTCCAAGATCGAACTGTGAGGATAGCTTTCAATTCGTTTCTCGGGCAATTTATCAATAGCAACTGCGACTTTCTTGTGTTGAAGACCAAATGTGTGCATGAGAAACATGTGAACATAATTAGGTGTGTATGACTTTGGAAAGTGGTATGTGCTTTCTTATCTTGTGACTCAGTGGAGCACTGAAAAGCCAGGTGCAGACGACACCGCCTGTGTTTGCTAGCTACTCAATGCAGTGGATGCCCTTTGTCAGCCCGACGGAATCAATGTTATTTCAACCTAAAGAATTCAAAATTGGATATCACCACGTTGAGAATAGTGCGAATAAATCCAATAGTCGGTGGGTGCCTATTGCCAACCCGAATTGAAAGCTTGGCCCACCGATGAGCAAATCCATCAGTAACCCCCATTCCGGATCCTCCGAAGGCGCGACAGAAACGGCTCCGTCATCGTTAAACCTTTTGTCGGCTTTGCTCGGCGGCGCCCGCTAATGATGGCAAGGGGAGGGGAGCAGGAGGGGAATGGCCGGTGGCGGCGACCTAGGTTCTGCCTGTTATGCTCCTCGGAGAGTGACTGGGAGGGGCTGTGGGGGGCTTTCAAACAGCAGTACAGTACCACGTGTTCACTAGCTATTCAGTTCAGTGGATGATTGGATCTCTTTTTCCAGCCTAACGAATATCATTTGTTGTTGTTTTCGAGAGATATATCAATACTTTTAGCTCAATAATCCAAAATTAGGTATCATCACAGCGAAAAAGTAGAGCCAATAAATTCAAAAATCAGTGCATGCCTTTTGCCAACCCGACCGATATCAAATGTCAGGAATGTGAATAAGATATCACCACATTGAAAGAGTAGAGGGAACAAATCCAACAGATTTCAGTTTTCGGTACCCCTCCCTCCGTGCACGCCCTTCACACGGCATGATGACACTTGGAC